TCCGTCCCCGATGAGGTGCCTTCTACCTCCGTCTGTGAACTGGCTGTCGTCTCAGCGCCTGACTCAACGTCGGCAAACATATTTCAACCATTCATCGCTGCAGATTTGACATCTTCGCAGCGTTCACAACTCCTCACCATTCTTGAGGGCTACCGCCACTCTTTCGACGTTGAACAAACATCTCTCGGCCGTGCCTTAGCAGTAGAACACCACATCGACACTGGGTCCCACTCACCGCTTCGACAACGACCATATCGCGTGTCCACTACAGAACGCCGCGTCATTGCTGACCAAGTAGACGACATGCTTCGCAGAGGCGTCATTCGACCTTCACAGAGCCCATGGGCGTCTCTGGTGGTTCTCGTCAAAAAGAAAGACGGTTCTATTCGTTTCTGTGTCGATTTCCGGCGATTGAACAAGATCACGCTGAAGGATGTCTATACACTACCGCGCATTGACGATGCTTTGGACAGTTTGCAGGGTGCCGAGTTCTTTTCCTCGTTAGACTTGCGGTCAGGCTACTGGCAGGTGCCTATGGCGGAGGCCGATCACCCCAAAACCGCTTTTGTCACGCCAGACGGCTTATATGAATTCACCGTCATGCCCTTCGGACTTTGCAATGCACCTGCAACGTTCGAACGAATGATGGACAACATCCTGCGTGGACTAAAATGGAAGATATGCTTGTGTTACCTCGATGATATCGTGGTCTTTGCCCCTAACTTTGACACACACTTACGTCGCCTTCAGCACGTCCTTACTTGCTTAACTAACGCCGGTTCGCAATTAAACCTAAAAAAATGTCGATTTGCCATGCGTCAACTGAACATTTTGGGCCACGTTGTTTCCAAGGAAGGCATCCTTCCGGATCCCGAGAAATTGCGAGCTGTTACGGCGTTTCCTAAACCTGCCACCATCAAAGAACTTCGAAGTTTCATCGGCTTGTGTTCGTATTTCCGGCGATTCGTCCGAAACTTCGCGTCTATTATATCACCTCTCACGCAACTCCTCAGCAGCTGTTAAGACCTCTTATCGTGGTCCCCTGCCTGCGACGAGGCTTTCACCACCCTGCGACGGCTTCTTACGACGCCACCCATTCTACGCCATTTCGATCCTGAAGCTCCAACTGAAATCCACACCGACGCCAGTGGTGTAGGCCTGGGTGCTGTGCTCGCACAGCGTAAACCGGAACATCAGGAATACGTCGTGGCATACGCTAGTCGCACACTTACCAAGGCTGAGAGCAACTACAGCGTCACAGAAAAGGAGTGCTTGGCCATTGTGTGGGCCCTTGGAAAGTTTCGCCCATATCTATATGGTCGTTCTTTTGACGTCGTGACCGACCACCACGCACTGTGCTGGCTTTCGACGTTAAAAGACCCATCTGGCCGCCTCGCTCGCTGGGCGTTGAAAATTCAAGATTACGACATACGCGTGGTTTATCGGTCAGGACGGAAGCATGCTGACGCCGACGCCCTTTCCCGTTCCCCCCTGTCCCAGAATGCCACAGCTGACTCCGCTTGCGATTCCACATTGTCAGCGCTTGACTTTGACACCATTGCTATCGAACAACGCAATGACCCGTGGACTGCGTCTCTCCTCAATCATCTCTCCGACACTTCTGAACTCCCAAAGACGCGAACGCTTCGGCGCCAAGTTCCACACTTCTCGATACGTGACACGCTTCTCTATCGACGTAACTACGCACCAGAGGGACGCAAGTGGCTGCTCGTCGTTCCACGAACCCTGAGGTCGCAGATTTGTTCCTCTTTTCACGCTGACCCACAATGTGGCCACGCAGGAGTCTTCAAGACCTACGAAAGGCTTCGACATCGCTACTACTGGCATGGCATGTATACCTTCGTCCGCAACTTCGTCCGCTCTTGTGCCGAATGTCAGCGCCGAAAATCTCCACCACACGCCTCCGCCGGTGAACTGCAGCCTTTACCATGCCCTTCCCGTCCCTTCGAACGGGTTGGAATAGATATTTATGGGCCACTTCCATTGACTCCGACTGGCAACAGGTGGATAATAGTTGCTATCGACCACCTAACGCGCTATGCTGAGACCGCTGCTCTTAAAACGGCTACAGCACAGGAGGTTGCCACTTTCCTACTGCGTCATTTTGTGTTGCGTCATGGAGGCCCTCAAGAACTCCTCAGTGACCGCGGCTGCGCCTTCTTGTCCGAGGTCATTGAAAAATTGCTCGCTGAGTGTGCTATTGTACATCGCACATGTACCGCTTACCACCCACAAACCAATGGGGCTACCGAGCGCTTTAATCGTACTCTCGGTGACATGCTATCTATGTATGTGACGCCTGACCACTCTAACTGGGGCTTAGTTCTCCCATTCATTACATACGCCTATAATACGGCAACGCAAGCGACAACAGGCTTCTCCCCTTTTTACCTCCTCTACGGCCGTCACCCCTCCCACACCATTGACACAATTTTGCCCTATCGACCAGACGCGTCCGAGTGCCTACCGATCTTGGACGCCGCCAGACACGCAGAAGAATGCCGCCAGTTAGCTCGTCGCTTTACCTGCGATGACCAAAACAGGCAAAAAGCAATTCATGATGCCCAGACCTCAACTCCCATTTTTCTTCCGGGTTCTCTTGTATGGCTGTCAGTGCCGCATCGCACACCTGGGCTCTCTTCCAAACTTCTGCCAAAGTACGATGGGCCATATCGTATTGTCGAACAAACTTCGCCAGTAAACTACCTCATTGAGCCTCTTACGCCACCATCAGACTTGCGACGTCGCAACCGCGAAGTTGTACACGTCCAGAGGCTCAAGCAATACCACGGTTCAACGCCGCCTGCCCAGGAGTAAGTCGCCAGGATGGCTCCTTTTTTCTCCGTGGGGCCATTGTAAAGAAGAGGAAGTACTCCGGCGCAGAGGCAGCAGCATCGAGTGTGCAGCAGCGGCTCGAGCTCAGAAATTTCGGCTGGTGCATCGCCTTCCAAGCCTTCCAAGCATCAACCTTCCTGCTTAATAAATCTCCTTATAATATATATATATATATAGATATATATATATATATATATATATATATATATATAATATATATATATATATATATATATATATATATATATATATATATATATAATGAGATCTAACAGACAGTAATGCCAAGGAATGTACAGAGGCAGTTATTAAAACCAATTGAATGTAAATAAGAAGAAAGAAAAGTGGATGAAAAAATAACCAGCCGTGAGCAGGAATCAAACCTACGACCTTCGAATAACGCGTTCGATGCTCTAACTACTGAGCGACCACAGCGGCCTTCCCTCCATCCACTTTTTTGGGTTTAGACAGTAATGCCAAGGAATGTACAGGGGAAGTTATTAAAACCAATTGAATGTAAATAAGAAGAAAGAAAAGTGGATGAAAAATTTTTTCAACCCCTTTTCTTTCTTCTTATTTACATTCAATTGGTTTTAATAACTTCCCCTGTACAGTCCTTGGCATTACTGTCGGTTAGATATCATTATAATGTGTTAAAACACGGAAAAACGAGCCCTTAGGTATACACTTCTTTCCCTTATTTCATTGATCGAGGGTCTCGTAATGGCAGACTTGGTGTGTTTAGGTTGTATAAGAGGGACAATTAATCAGCTGCCCACTCATAATAAGTTCACGTGCTACGTGACGCCAAACATGCGCATAAGAGTGCTTTCACACTCGTCGTTTGGCTTATAGATGGCGCTGACTGTCACTCGTACTTCTAAATTCACATATAAACCCAAAAAAGCGGATGGAGGGAAGGCCACTGTGGTAGCTCAGTGGCTAGAGCATCGAACGCGTTATTCGAAGGCCGTAGGTTCGATTCCTGCTCACGGCTGGGTATTTTTTTCATCCACTTTTCTTTCTTCTTATTTACATTCAATTGGTTTTATTAACTTCCCCTGTACATTCCTTGGCATTACTGTCTGTTAGATCTCATTATAATGTGTTAAAACACGGAAAAACGAGCCCTTAGGTATACACTTCTTTCCCTTATTTCATTGAACGAGGGTCTCGTAATGGCAGACTTGGTGTGTTTAGGTTGTGTAACAGGGACAATTAATCAGCTGCCCGCTCATAATAAGTTCACGTGCTACGTGACGCCAAACATGCGCATAAGAGTGTTTTCACACTCGTCGTTTGGCTTATAGATGGCGCTGACTGTCACTCCTACTTCTAAATTCACATATAAACCCAAAAAAGTGAATGGAGGGTAGGCCGCTGAGGTAGCTCAGTGGTTAGAGCATCGAACGCGTTATTCGAAGGTCGTACGTTCAAGTCCTGCTCACAGCTGGTTATTTTTGCATCCACTTTTCTTTCTTCTTATTTACATTCAATTCGTTTTAATAACTTCCCCTGTACATTCCTTGGCATTACTGTCTGTTAGATCTCATTAGTATTGTGTTAAAACACGGAAAAACGAGCCCTTAGACATACACTTCTTTCCCTTATTTTATTGAACGAGGGTCTCATTATGGCAGACTTGGTGTGTTTAGGTTGTATAAGAGGGACAATTAATCAGCTGCCCGCTCATAATAAGTTCACGTGCTACGTGACGCTAAACATGCGCATAAGAGTGTTTTCACACTCGTCGTTTGGCTTATAGATGGCGCTGACTGTCACACCTACTTCTAAATTTACATATAAACCCAAAAAATGTGGATGGAGGGAAGGCCGCTGTGGTAGCTCAGTGGTTAGAGCATCGAACGCGTTATTCGAAGGTGGTAGGTTCGATTCCTGTTCACGGCTGGTTATTTTTTCATCCACTTTTCTTTCTTCTTATTTACAATCAATTGGTTTTAATAACTTCCCCTGTACATTTCTTGGCATTACTGTCTGTTAGATCTCATTATATTGTGTTAAAACACGGAAAAACGAGCCCTTAGGTATACACTTCTTTCCCCTATATATATATATATATATATATATATATATATATATATATATATATATGAGCAAGTCTTTAGACAGTGCCTTGCACTTACCTCAAGTACGTCAGAACAGAATCCACGTCCGTCAGATTGTCGTTGTCTCGCTGGAACATTCTAGCACGTGGGCATTTGTCGTATGTGTACAAGTCACCGTATTTCTTGACGGTCTCTGGTTGCGCGGTCATTTCGAATGTCTCTGGAAAGAATCTTTTAAAAACAAAAACTAAGCCGTCACTATTGCTTTACTTGAGTATGAAAGTACTTCCCACATTTCAAAACATGTCAAAACATTAATTTTTCATTTCATCGTTGTTTATTAAGACAAAATAACATTTCCTGGTTTGAAGGGACACATTACCTCAGCCTGATTTTAGTCCCTCCACCCATACATTCGCTGAGATGCAGTGGAAACGAAATATACATATTTCCTTTTTTTTTTAGGAAGGGACACAAAAATGAAATTCAATAAGTATACCGGATGTCAAAACACACACTTTAAAATGACACGTTAAAATCAACAACTTGCTTATAGCAAGATAAATAAATATGCAAAAAAGTGAAACCTAGAGAACTTTTAGTTGAAAGAATAAGTACTATATGGAAATACACATTTGAAAAAAAGACAACCTAGCGAGTTTTACACAAATATACAAAAGCAGAAAGAACCCTAAAAGGAATATTAATAATAAATAGTATGATTAGGGTACGACATGAAAAAGTACATCTGCACTTTCTGTCTTCACACTGCTTTTCACATTACATTGTACCATAGTCTTTCAATACTTTCTCAAACGTATTGAAGGACTATGATTGTACTAAACGTTAACGAGCATAGCTATTGTTCCGTAGTAAATAAGGTATTTGATATTATAAGGTTTGCTTACCATAAGTTGACCTGAATAAAGGAAGTCGAAAACTGTCATAGCGTAAACCACATTTTAACACAATTTTAACGAGGTCTACATTTCGAGTACGTGCCCAGCCAGAATGCAAATTAAGCTAAGGCCTCGGTACAACTGGTTCGCGGCACGTACATAGGCATATGAAAATTCGCCGAAGCGAGCCTTCCCCCACCTCACCCCAAGCTTTGCCGGGCGAAGGCCACCACCCGGCGTCGATTGCAAACCAACACGTATCCCTCACCAGGCCACCTCCACCTCACATTCCCGGACCTTTACACTACTCCCAACTGCCGGTACTGTGGCACTCACCCGGCTGCACTTCCGCATATGCTGTGGGAGTGTCTGGCACCGTACACACACAGTAGCACCACGACCTCTCGTCGAGGGTGCGTGAGGCTCTGCGGAGCTCTGCCCTACATGACCAAACAAGAATGACACAGCGTGCCCGTAAGGCAGCGTCGAGGCAAAGCCACTGACGTTACCTCGTGGGACGGGTAGGCCCGGCCGTCTTAACTTGCTGTTTTTTACTAATAATGTTCATGCCTAATTCTCGGCCCTAAGCCTCACTAGGCTTAAAACAGTGATACCGGAAAATTCTGAAAACTAGTCTGGTTGTTTCTAGGTAGTTCGTGACATTGGCTGGATTAATGCAGGTCGTTTCTACGTTTCTTCTAAATTATGGCTATTCTTTAGCTAGGTATACTGCTAGGTTATTTCTGCGTTGGCTCTGCACTGATAGGTGTGACTTGAACCACAGACAGTCAAACGCACGGCACAGGCATTCAAACTCAAGGCATTAATCCACCCTGTAGCCAAGCGTTTGCAACTCAGATAGATGTACGGGCCATAATCCTTCGCGACGGCTTTCCACCGTTTTTTGTGGCACACTCTAAAAAAAATCGGGCATTTAGGGATTATTTCTGCCACGCAACAATAATCAACTGCTTCGCGTACTTTCCTTGCGTTGTCACCACTGTTTCGAAAGTTCGCCGTGACGAACGGCGCGCGCGTAGTCGGTGTGACATGACATTCTTGACAGGAACGTGATTGATTTATATGTGGGGTTCAACGTCCCAAAACCACCATAAGATCATGAGAGATGCTGTAGTGGAGGGCTCCGGAAATTTCGACCACCTGGGGTTCTTTAACGTGCACCCAAATCTGAGCACACGGCCTACAACATTTCCGCCTCCATCGAAAACGCAGCTGCCGCAGCCGGGATTCAATCCCGCGATCTGCAGGTCAGCAGCCGAGTACCTTAGCCACTAGACTATTGCGGCGGGGCCACAGGAACCTGGTCAGAGCCAGGTTTTCAAGAGAAGGAACACGAGCAAGTCAGATGACAATGATTATTGCGTGGCATAACTACTCCCCAAATACTCTACTATTTCTTAGAGCGCAGATACCCCTTGACAATGATAACAATTTTCTAGATTGACTCACAAGAAACAGCTTGGTAAATAACTTTACTATTAAAACGCCTTTATCGTTTCAGTTTTTTCAGGTGTGTTGTCTCATGTCACGTTTCAGCTCGGAATCGAAGTCCTTGTTTAACACTTATGAATGCAGCGAGAACTCTCAAATACCAAAGTATTCTCACCTTGCTCTAGATCTAATTGGAAACGTCCACAAAACAAACGTAACATTCTTGATACAAAGAGTTACTCACGCGACGTTGTAACCGGGCCAATATTTCTTTTGACGAAGACCATGGCTTATGTCTTCATACTTCGAAAAGCCTCTGTAAATAAGAACAACGAAAAGACTCACCGACAATTACGATGCTGCCTAACACGAACTCTCTGGGTAGCTTCGTGTTAAGACAACGCGAACTGTGGTCGAGGCACGCTATCTAAATTATTGTGTTAAACTTTCAATAAGCCTATAACACGAGATCACCACATTATATAGTGTCCTGCTCACGAAGGTCTGGAGGGGAACGTCATGCCAGACCACATTGCTTCAGACTTCTCCAACCAAGCGACGGCCGGCACTGACGTTGAACCCATTTCTAATCCTCGTGCCATCCTTCTCCATCAAAGGGAGCAAAAACGAGAGTACAACATTCCGCATAAAGACTTGGGTAGCCGACGAAACAAAAATCGGAGACGCATACAAACCAATAGCTTTCCAAATTTGTACCACCTATGCAGAGCACAACCCACATGATTTAAAGGCACACGTCTATGGTGTTTAGACACACCGACACTCGACAACATAACAATATAGTGCACCAAGAGGCCCGCACACACCGATAACTCGCACGTTACTAACTATCCGCTTCAAGCAGAGTCAAATAGCTTTGCTTGACTAGGCCCAGTGAGCCGCTCGGGCTAGCAGAGCCCTGCACTAAGGGCTCCTTTTCAAATATCTGCGTATACCATTTCTTTTTTTTTCTGAATAATGTTTCTTCCTCCTCCTCCTGCTCTGAAGTTTTGGCTATCCGTAGTTGTCGCGCTGTAATGTTCGTTACATATTCCCACAGGACCTCCAAGTGGTCGAGTGTTGCGCCTGTAGCGTAGCGCTAGTGGCGGCCAACCGGCTAGAGGAAAAGACCAGCGCATGTTCGTAGGCTTCTAGCTGGCTGGACGCCACGGCCGTCGCTCTACTTCAGCAGCTCGCTTCCTCCTGTACATCCCGTCTTTTCAGTTAACTTGCGAAGACGGCACGCCTACGTCGGACGCCGTCACGTCGCCTACAAGTGCACGCTCGTCACCCGCCCGTCTTCTTCAACCTCCACATTCCACGATCCATCTGACATGACCTCGGACATCGTCTCCCCCGCTATTCGCCCCCCGATCACGGATGCTTCGCTGTCTACGATGTCCGAAGGCAACTTTCTATCTGCATCAGCATTCCGCTCGTCCTGCCAGCTGCCGCTATCATCGCCTTCGTGTATCCTGCAGCAAAAGCTCATGCCTCTCACCAAACACGGCCAAACATGCGATATGTTGCAACCACGACTGAAGCGCATGCGTACGACGTTCCTGACCCGCGTATGGCAGAACACGCACCTCATTTCGCGCTTGCCACAGAGCCAGCCATTGGCCGCGTCGACCTGCGCATGAGCCCTCGTGCAGCGACAACCGAAGGAGCTTTTACGAGTCCAGGGGCGCCGACTGACCCTCCTCCAGAATGCACTTTCACTCTGTTCCATGAGAAGACTTCAACCGAGCTCTCGATGAGGTGCGCGAATCAGCAAGCTTATAACTCGAATACAAACACTCCCTTTGACAGATCGCAAGCCTCGTCTACCTAGGCCCGTACCCACCTTATCATACCCACCATTACAGGCATTGTGTGTAGCATGATCATACGAACACTGCGTTTCTGTGCCGGTCAACTCGTATACTCGTGTCGATACGCCAGCCACAATAGAACGCAGAAGGTGTCATTGCACCACCACCGACTTTAACACTAGTTTCACCGACCCGCTGCAAACGTTATCGGCCAAACCGGCACTTCTACGGGCACCTTTCACACCTGCGTCCGCTCGCGTTACCTGATGTGCTCACGAACGCAGCCAACAAGCAATCGTGGGACCTGCCTGTCTATAACAACGCCCCGGTGTCTCCATCCTCGGCCACTACGTTTTTCCCAGTGCCGCTCACCGGAACTGTGAGACTCCTCCGTACGCCTTCCACCCTGACAGCATTCGGACTTACAAGTAGACTATATATGAACCGCCGCTCATGTACATAGTTTTTATATGTTCTTCATACACTTTCTTCATGAATGGTCTATCGCGTAACAAGCTAGGTGGGGAGCCTTTGTAGCGTAGCGCTAGTGGCGGCCGACCGACTAGAGAAAAAGACGACGAGCGCTGGTGGCGCGTGGCGCCTGGAATGTTGTGGGCTTTAAGCTGGCTAGACGCCACGGCCGCTGCTCTACTTCAGCAGCTCGCTTCTTCCTGTACGTCTCGTCCTTTCATTTACCCTGCGACGACGGCACGTCTACGTCGGACGCCGTCCCGTTGCTACACGCCCACCACTCTGTGCATTGCACACGCTGCCAATCAAGTGAAACAGCACAGTTTCCGTTACGACAAGCAAAGCCAGCCGCAGTGAACGCGCGAACCCCACACGCACATGAGTTTCGAGCGAGCGGCCAGTTCACGTGACCAAGAAAACAACACTAGGGGCCAAGGGCTGTTGGTAACAACAGACACCACTTTCTATAGTCTTAGTTCCTTCTATCGGTCACGCCGCCTATGCCAACGGATGATTACTGTTGCGACTCCAAACTAAATACTTTGCTGTGTTTTACAATAGTAAAACATTTCGACTCTACGGTC